TAAAAAAAATGGAAAAGGAAAGTTAAAAAGGTTAAAGCAAAAGTTGAAAATGCATTTTATAAGAAATTTCCTCCATATTACGCATGTCTTAGGAGCCGAAACGGGAACACTGTGAAAATAGCAATTCCTTACCAATTTTATACCGCTTTTTACCTTCCTCCTTTCCTCCCCTCCCTTCCGCCCCCAACCCACCCTCCCTCCTCGTCTCTTTTCCTTTTATTCTTATTACCAAAAATATCAAAACCACTCGGGTATCCATAATTAGCGCGGGTATCCATAATTAATGATGCTACTGCGGTGCTCCCAAACGCCATGTATAGCTATGCCAGGCTATCCGTCCTAGGTCCTCTGACCCTGCTTATTATTTTCCCATGTTACATTATCATCTCTATTTCTACTCCATTATCTTCTATATACACGCACATTCCCATGTACGGGCCCGTGAAAATTTTTGATATTTAAAGAATCTAGCTGGCGAGCCTGAAAAGCTAGAAAGCTGAAATGCTGAGGGGATGTTCCCCGTACACGTACAATGTAACGACTTCAGATTCAACCTTCAGGTGTGAATGTTTCTGCCCGTGAAAATTTTTCTCCGGTAAGTTGTTAACTCGGGAACCTGAAAAGCCAGAAAACTAAAGCAGGACCCATCGAGTATAACTATGCTAGGCCCTTTGGTCGTAGGCCGTATGATACCAGTCATTATTTTCTGATACTACACTTTTTACCTCTATTCCATCATCCTAAGTGTACACACATCACACATATACACGCACACCACACATACACACATATAAAAACATTCATTTAATTTACGTAGAAGAAAAACAGGGGCTGTGGGGGAAAATGTTTGAAAATTAAAATTAAAAAAAAAGCATTTAAAATGAAATTTACACATCGCCACGGCGCAAAGCTGTTTTTTTCTCTTCCGTGACTTTCTTCATATATGCGAAATATGTGGGTGAATGCAAAACATTGCAATAAAATATGACATCCTCCACATTCAACTCCCTTATGCCATCCTTCTCTTGAAACAGTGTTACTGTGCCAGATGTATCGAACAAAATTTCGCCGAATTTAACGTATGTCTTGCCGTCCTAAAATGAACTCCGGCCCTTAGAAGTGAAAGTTAAAACTTTTGAATATAGTTAAAAAAAACCTATCAAGGATTTATCACGTCCGCTCGTCGTCTTTTCCTCCACTACTCACACAAGGGACTTTCTTCTCATAACATTAGTCGTCTAGTCAACACATTTGTGCAC